GTAATATGTTGTGGTCAACAGTGTCAAACGCAGCACTGAGATCTAATAATACTAACACTGAAGTTCTGCCACTGTCTGTGTTTAAGTGGATGTCATTGAAGACCTTTACAAGAGCAGTCTCAGTGCTGTGGTTTGGACGAAAGCCTGACTGGAACACATCAAAACAGTTATTTAAATGCAAGAAATTACTCAACTGTTGAAAAACAACTTTTTCAATGATTTTATATAATACACTTTGTGTAAGATTTAATTTTGAGCCCAGAGATGTTTTCACCTCATGAACCCGAGCGCGATGAGTTCACCCAAAATTAAAAATAAATATCAGCGCTGTTTAAGCAACAGCCAACCCGATACAGCTGGCCATTGTTGTCTGTTGTTCTTTGTCAGAAAATACTTGTTTTATAGAACTCGGCACAACAAGGTTGGTGGGTGATAGCCGTCGTGCTGTTGAGTTGCAATTATAACTTCCACAAGCTGAACGGTAAGACTCAGTAGCTTGGTGCTAAAGTTAGAATCAGTGGATGTGTATTTTGTCGTTTAGTTTTCCATAGCACTCATTCATGCATATTTGACTTTTCCTCAGGACACTGACCATGAAGAACGATTGCTCAGAGGTGTGTCTGTGGCCATCCTCCCCATCATTGAAGATGATGTTGCCGCCATATCACCAAATGTGCTAGATGTGGCTGTTGTGTGGGAAGGGACCATTGTACTGCATGACCTGCCAGACCTCTCTACTGCCTTTGCATACGTCTTCGGCCTACTTTATGCACTGAACATGGATTATCCAAAGGAGATGAGGTATACCTTTGAAGCCATTCAGACTATCTTTCACGAGCTTGGCTCTCGATGCTCGCAGCGCATAAGGTCTCAGAAAACAAAGCTTTTGCTGAGAATGTTAATGGTGAAGCCAGACATGACTTTAATCTGTCGCCTGTTCTAGTGCATTGTGATTAGTGCTCATGTAAAACCTCACAGCATTCATTTCATTTTAAGTATAAGTTCTCTTCTGAAATAGAGAATCAAAGAATGTGTGGATGTGTAAGTTGCCAGATCAAAAGAGGGGCATATCCAGTATTTCTACTGTTCAAGTTCATTGTTAGTGATCAGGTAAAACTTCAATGTATGTACATGCTTGCACATGCAGTCATTTTAAGCATGAAGTCCCATTTGACTGTGAAATTGAAATGTGTGGAATTGTGAGTTGCCAGTTGACAAGAGGCACTTGATTGTAATTGTTGTATTTGTTTATTCTTAAATTATTTGATTGTGATGTGCTGAAGAGGCTGAGGCCTGATATATCACGATGATGTCAGGTGTGTGAATCCTATTTTGACCTGATGGAAAAGCAGAAGCCGAAACGACCCTCAGAATCTGTGTTCAAAGGCCATCATCATTTTCTGTTTAAAGCAGCTTTGCTAGATGTTTATTATGTCAAGAAATGTCCTTAACTTGTGTTGTGTTGCAAAACGTGCATTTTTTCAAATCCATATCTTCAGCATGTGAAGAATGCATGTTATCAACGTCTAGCAAAGCTGCTTTAAACAGAAAATGATGATGGCATGGGGTCTGCGAGACAGCGAGACACAGAGGAACTCAGCCTGAGCAGCTGTGAGTGTGTGTGTGTGTGTGTGTGTGTGTGTGTGTGTGTGTGTGTGTGTGTGTGTGTGTGTGTGTGTGTGTGTGTGTGTGTGTGTGTGTGTGTGTGTGGAAATCCGTTACTTCACTTTAGTCAGGAAGAAAAAAATGGAAAAAGAGAAATCTCCAACGAGGCGTTCTGGGGCAGCATAGACAGGTATTTTCTGTGTTAGAGTTTTACTCGCTGCAGGGTGTACTTTGAGGTTTTGTGACTCTGCAGACCTTTTACATGAAGAAAAACCTTCATAACACACACGGGGACGGGTAATAACCGGAAAAGCATATGATGAGACCTTTAAAAGAGAGAATGTTTTGTGTGAATGTTTTGTGTGCTAAAGTGGACAAAAGATGTACAAAATGTTCATATAATTGAATTAAATCGGAAGAAATAACTGAATAAATAATGGGCTCTTTTTTTGTTTGTTCATTTTAGTTTATTTTCAATGTCCAACATCAATGTTGATTGCAATCTTCAGCGTGACAATATCTCAATGTTGATTCAATTACTTTTTGCAATCTGATAATAACATCGTTTCAATGTATAATGCAACGCATAATATAGTTGAATCAATGTTGATCCAATTCTACATTATTTCAATGTTGATCATATCGTAATTGAATCAAGGTTGATTCATTGTTGGGATTGATTGAAAATTCAATGTTCTTTCAATGCTGATCATAGCGAGCACTTTCACTGTTCATTTCAATGTCTGACATCAATGTTGATCACAATCTTCAGCGTGGCAATATCTCAATGTTGATTCAATGACTTTTTGCGACTTTTTTTGTGGCTCCTTGGTAACAGACTAAGAATCAGCACTTTTGAAACAGGACTGAAACAGAGGGGATTATGGGATGTTACAACGCATGATCTGGTTGGTATTTCGAGCCAAACACTTCAGAGATATGTTTTGTATATATCTGGGACCTATAATATATTGATGAAAAACAGTATAATAGGGGACCTTTAAATCTGTAACAACTTCCTCAGGTGTCCAGCTGGGGTCAGCAGAGTCTCACTGTGGACCCTGCAACTTCTCAGTTTTTCTGAAGACATTTCTGCAGATTGTTGTGTACTTTATTAGTTTCAGTTTAAAACAAACATTTCCACAAAAAGCAGGACTTAATAATAGACAAAACAAGCCAGGTATATGTTCCTAACATAACCTATGAATGTATGCACCATTAATGCCATAACTTGAACGTAAAAGTATATATATATATATTGTAGGATAAGGGGTGTAAGAATAGGTTGGTTAATGTAAAATACTTTTTGTGTATTGCTTATGGGCAATTCATTTTTTATTTTTGCCATGTATTTGATGCAACAGCCTATATATTTTCTAAAGTTTGAATGACAGATATGTTTGATAAATAGTATATAAATACTCTGTTACAAGTTCAAGTCTGGCATTCAAATTTGTGCTTAGAAAACAAAAGTATTAGCATCAAAATATACTTAAAACAAAACTAAAAGTAGTTATTATATGGAATGGCCATTTTCAGAATATTAAATAATTTCATTGGATTCTAATAACTGATCTGATCCTTATCACGAATAGTATGTTATTAGTCGATTTAAATACTTTTTAAATTAAAGAGGAAACTGAAAAGTAAACAGTGGTGGAAATTAACAAAGTACATTTACTCAAGTACTGTAATTAAGTACACATTTAAAGTACTTACCCGAGTATTTTTCATTTTCATTATACATTATATTTTTACTCCACTACATTCATTTCAAAGATGTATTTACTAGTTACTTTATAAATTCAGATTTTGACACACAATATATATGATTAGTTTGTATGGATTAAACCATCCAACAATATATTTAAGTAACTAACCATGAGTGGCTTAACAGAAAATAAGTTATCTGTTCAAAGATATTTCACAGTTCCAGCTTGTGAAGATTTGCTGATTTGGATTCCATATATTAAAAATATATACTTTTTGCTGCTTAAAGTAGGTTACTTTTACTCCTTATATTTTACCATACTTAAATACTTTTACTCAACTAACATTCTTGATGCAGTTCTTTTATTTTGAAATGTAGTATTTATACAGTGTAGTATTAGTACTTTTATTCACGTAAAGTATCTGAATATTTGTTCCACTACTTCTAACTGATGTTGTCCTTAAGCGTAGTGAGTTTCAGTATTTGCAGTTTGTGAGTGTGCCTGTGTCTGTGTGTGTGTCTCTTGGTGTGTGTGCAGGGCCGGTTTTTGGCATAGACAACATAGGCGGTCGACTAGGGCTCCAGATCTGGGGGGGCGCTGCGCTGGTAGAAAAAAACATTTTTTGACCGTTGGCACTCATCCTAATTTTCGGCCTTGACAACATTCATAATTAAGTAAATGTAACACCCTTTTCACCCCGGTTACACTTTTAATTTGCCCTGTACGATGGGCGCTGTAAGTGATGAAAGTGGGGGATATTGACGCCCGCAGCTCACAGCCAAAGTCCGAGTGAGCGAGCGAGGGAGAGAGAGGGCGCACCGACGCTGTTGTTATTAGCATCTGGTGCTAGCTGCGCTAACGGATATAAGAAGAAGAAGATGTTTCTACAACAAGGGTGGAGGAGAGCTCTCTACTGTCAGACTGAGAGGCTCAGTGAGGTAAAGGACTCTCAGTGTTCAGATTAGTTAACTTTAGTCTAAGTTATCTCAGTGGGTCTCAAACGTTTTGATCACAATTTATGTAAACAAATATTTCCAAGGCACCCCTTTATAATTATTGGGATAAACAGGTTTGAAATCATTTCAATGTATACTATAGGACAGTAAACCAAAAATATCGTTTAAAACTGGAATGATAAAAAAATATGCATACATAAATACATGTTAACTAGGTAAAATAAGATATGAATGAACAACAAAAATAAGTTCCATTTATTTGTTATAGGCTATGGTAGGTTATTAGTTATGTTCACATACTTATTTTATTATTAAAATGTAAACCAATCTTTCTCATATGGGTGTTTTAGAGTTGTACCCCCTAGATCTAGTCTCTAGTAATTGTGCGCTCAAAGTGCACCAGATTGAAGCATTTTACTTTAAAATGTTCAAACATTTCTTCCCGGGGATACCGCATACCCCCGGACCCCCCTAGAGGATGTGATGTCCATCCCCCAATTCAAGCATGATCTACAATTATTATATTATATTACCTATGTCAATACCTTTCTGTTTTTGTAGTGTATTTGTCTTTTGTAGAGATTTTTCATTTATTCTATAAATATTCTATTGGGGGGAGGGGGGGGGGGCCGCCAGCTAAAATCTCGCCTAGGGCAGCAAATTGGCTAGAACCGGCCCTGCGTGTCTCTGGGTGTGCGTGTGTCTCTCTCTCTGTGTGTGTGTGTGTCTCTGGGTGTGTCCTCCAGCAGGTACAGCTCTCTCTCTCTCTCTCTCTGTTGGACACACTCAGTGTTCGGGATGGATGTGCTCTCTGTGACGCCGCTGCTGCTCCTGCTCTCTTTCCTCGGTAATAACTCATTCACTTATTATTATTACATAGTTAGTATAACATAGGTATTATTATAAAGTTATTTTTAAATAGGTAATATAATCTCAGCAAGACATCAGTTTGTGATCAAACTGATTTATACAAAAATGTAAAAAGGTTTCCATCGTGTGGCTCCGTGGGTACTTTTGTTCATGCTTAAATTATGCAGAATAATGACCCTATCCCCCTCCCCCCCCCCCCCCCCCCCCCCCCGCCTCAGGATGCTGTGCGGGGCAGAACGTGTTGCCCGACGGCCCGGTGGAGGCGATCCTGGGCAAAAGTGTGACTCTAAAGACGCTGGTGGACAAACCAGTATACTTCTTTATTATCTGGAACCACAACAACGGGAGTGAGCAGACTCATGTGGCCACCGCCAGCCACACGGGGGTCAAAGTGAACGACCCGTACATAGGCAGGGTGACGGTGAACCAGACCAACGGGTACCTGCACCTGGAGGGGCTGCTGGCCTCCGACAACGGGGACTACAGCATCCAGATCGTAACCGACGATGGAACCACTACAACCGGGGATATCCACCTCCGAGTCCTGGGTGAGAACACTTCCGGCGGCATATTACATGTTCAAATAGTTATCTCACTTTTCCCTCTCTGCTTTTAGAGGGAAGGGTGTTTTAATAGCCTACATGTTTCTGGCTCATACCGTGTCCCTGTATAACAGCAGTGAGTCCGCTGCGGGCCACACCTGTGTCACCTGTAGCGCCATGTTGAGCGGGTATCCCTCCGCCAGCACTACATCTGCATTCACCACGCAGCAGTTACCGCTCAGGGACTATATTCCTTGGCGAGATCCTGTTCTTGAGTAAAAGTAGAAGTAGAGTGTATGAATACTCTGTTACAAGTAAAAGTCCTGCAATTAAAATGTTACTCAAGTAAAAGTAGAAAAGTATTATCATAAAAATATAGTTAAAGTACCAAAAGTAAACGTATTGATTGTGCAGATTGGTCCATTTCAGATATGATATGTTTTATAATTATTGATCATTAAAGGTGAGGTATGTAATTTATTTCAGAAACACTTTTTGTTATATTCCATGGAATGCTCTTAACATCCCGATAGCAATGAATATATTAAATGCTTTGACAATAAATATATAAAAAAATGTAATCTGTGGAAGCCGTAGCACTGTAAAAAGCACGACCAATCATTTTAGCCAGCACGGCTAAAATAACTGGATGGCCTACCCATCATGGATGTATAATAAGAACTCGATACAGCGTGGGAGGCGGGGCCTCATTCATTCCTATTACCTCATTCACACCAACGGTGTTTCAGGGCCGGTTCGGAGCTGGAGCTTGAAAAGCACCGGGTTTTCCTCTTCACACCGCAGCGGAGCAGCCTCTTAGCTCCGGAATCCGGTTCGTTTCAAGCACCAAAAAATTGTCCGGCCAGAGCAAAAGCACCACATACATCACGCTTACGTCGAGGCGGGGGCAGGGGCGGGATCAACTCCTGAACAACAACAAAAAGCCCGCATTTTATCCAGTTTGTACAACGATGGAGAAACTTAACCAGAGTTTCAGAGTTTCAGTGTTTCTGCCATAGACTGTATATATAAAGGTTTCTGCTCATGGTGAAGCAACGTGTCCGCGTGTTAAGGTGGAACCTGAGCATTCACGTTGATCACCTCTCATTATAAATCTATAAAACTATAAATATTAAACTTTACTTCCGTATTGTCATACTGATATTTTGTACAAACTGTAAAGTCCACTGAGACAAATGTAACATTTGTGATATTGGGCTATATAAATAAACATTGATTGATTGATTGATTGATTTACTTCACGTGTTCATTTGAGAACAGCTGTTACATACCTGGGTGAAGGTTACAGTTCATTTAAATGAAAGATACAACGTTACTCCACACTCATGGTTCAGTCCACCTTAAGAAATAAGACCGACCTCAGAAGCAGTTGTGTTTTAAAAAAAACCTTTATTGACACGACTACACTTTTTTATAAGAATATAACTAAACCACAGAAATGACTCCGGAAAAGCTGCAGATAGAGCCATAAGAAATTAATGCAACTGATTTCATCCGCGCGGTTTGGCTTTATGAAGCAGGCACGCAAACGGTTACGTCATGACGCAAACGATGACGCAACGACGCATTACCAGTCGGACTCTGGGCGGTGTGAAAAGAGCCAGAGCTAAACCGAAGAACTGGTTCTGAACCTGAAAAGCTCTAGCACGGAGCTTGAACCGGAATTGCATTGGTGTGAATGAGTATGAGAGTTGCTCAATGGCGCATGATGACAAAATGGCCCAACTTTTGAGAGAGCGAAACGTCACAGATTACCCGGCATGCCTGAGAAGTACCCGTATGTGCGCTCATAGAGCATGCACAACTTTAACCACGCCGCCCAAAAGGCTCGTTCACATTAAGCACGTGAATTTGCGTACACGTAACAGCACCGCGCGTTCATGACAGCATGGTACTGGATTTATATTAACGAGGCGGCAGTTAGCAGCTAGCGGCTAGCTAGTAAATTATGCTAAGTTACACATCAATCGTTATGTACTTTTATATTATGCTGACATCAGGATCTAGTGATATCTAAGCAACAGAGCTTCATTTAGCATGATACTTGTGTGGGTTGTACATGAAACCACTTGGTAATATATAAAAATGTATATGTTGAAGCCTGTTATGATCAATTGTGAGTTAAAACTTTATCTAAAAAGTAAAGCTGATGATGGATTACTGTGGTGGAGTTAAAATAACAATAGCCTATTTCTTTTTGAAATGTGATGGAGTAAAAGGATAGTAACTGTGATTATTCATGTTAAGTAGCCCACAAGTAACTAAAACAATTACAAGTGCAATAAGAAGCTACAGGAACGTTAATCTACGTCGGTAATATTAACTTTATTTAATACAACATTTACGGTACAAGATTTACATCATACAGCCCATGTAGTATAATATTTTACAAATGATGAATAACAGCAAACATGTGCAATATATCCATTATTACAGCTCCGTGGGCTGGCAGTAAGGCGATATGGTCCGTTGTTATTGTGCATCCATGGGTAAAGAGAAACGCATGTAGTACTGAACACGTAACTTGAACGTGCCAGGCGGCGCGGTCCCGTGGGTTAGATGCGCGTTCATAATGCCGAGGGAAATAACTCTCAAAATAACGTTATTAGCAAATTTTTACAACTTGAGGAATGAATGTTTTTAATAAGGGCTATACAAACGTTCATACTGGGTAGTTTATTTAGTTTAAAAAAAATTATCCAACGAGTTACAGACCACTCTTTCCCAATGTAAGTCAATGGGAAAAAGTGTTTCCGGGCCCAGCAACCTAAAGGAAGTGTAGTACCGCCATTTGACCAGCACGAATATTCTCATCAGATTCCGGCGCACTTCCTGGGGGCTTGCTACCCATAGATATAAACTAGGGCTGTCAGTCGATTTAAATATTTAATTGCGATTAATCGCATGATTGTCCATAGTTAATCGCGATTAATTGCAAATTAATCGCACATTTTTTATCTGTTCTAAATGTACCTTAGAGGGATATTTTTCAAGTTTGTAATACTCTAATCAACATATGAGTGGACAAATATGCTTTATGCTAATGTTTGTTTATTATCATTTGAACAATGACAAATATCCATTAAACACAGCAACCTCTGAACATTAAAAATATCCGCCTCAATTCAACCTGGAACCTCTCTCATACAATACAATAATACAATAGAAAGTGTGTGTGTGTGTGTGTGTGTGTGTGTGTGTGTGTATGTGTGTGCGTGTGTGTGTGTGTGTGTGTGTGTGTGTGTATGTGTGTGCGTGTGTGTGTGTGTGTGTGTGTGTGTGTGTGTGTGTGTGTGTGTGTGGAGAGACACTGATGGATCGTTGGAGCTATGTGCAACTCAAGGCATATGCTCGAACGGGAGCTGCCTGGACAATGCAATCATGTTGCAGTGTGCTGACTTTTTGTACAATGTCCCACTGTCTGGCTTCCTGCATCAAGTCAAGTGCTCTGCGCAGTTGTCGGCGAAATGTCGCTCCTCTGTTTGAATTGAAACAGCTCCTTATATCCGTTAGCGCAGCTAGCTAGCACCAGATGCTAACAACAACAATAAACGTAAGGTGTGCACGTTCTCTCTCGCTCGCGCCACACATACACACACCCTCCCGGTCCTCCCGATGGCCAGTCAGTGCCTGCCGGTGAGCGTGGAAGTGTGGTCTGCCGCAAGCGGACGGCAGGAGCGGGGCTGTCAGCATCAGCTTGTAGATGGGATTTTAAACTCGATGCGCTCTGAAACTACGGGGTGCGCTAGAATTTGAAAATACACAACCGGAAAAAATATGCCACTTCCTTACAGAGCCCCTCCTCCAACACACACGAACGCGCACATGACCAATTAGGGTAGGAGATAAGTTTGTGCACGAGATGGAAGGCTGACAGGCAGGTAGGCCATCCAGTTACTTTAGCCGGGCCGGCTAAAATTATTGGTCGTGCTTTTTACAGTACTACGGCTTCCACAGATGACATTTCTTATGGATTTGTTGTCAAAGCACTTCAGATATTCATTGCTATCGGGATGTTAAGAGCATTCCATGGAATATAACAAAAAGTGTATCTCGAGCCGGTTTCTCAAACTTACCTACCCCACCTTTAAAGTGTTCTCAAAGCTGGTAAAGGTGCAGCTAGTTTGAATGACTTTGTAGACTGCAGGGTAGCTTGTGAATTTACTCCAGGTGGAACTAAAGTCTGATTCAACACTTGATTATATTTCACATCATTAATCCAAATCTGTAAAGTAACCAAAGGTATTAAATACATGTAACTAACCCCTAACCAGAGATGGGGTCGTTACTAAAAAAAAGTAATATATTACATATTACTTTAAAAAAAAGTAATATATTACACTACTTCGTTACTCTCTAGATAAAGTAACTCGTTACATTACTCGTTACTTTACTCGCAGGGCCGGCCCGCCCCTCCCTACAGGCAGATCACGCAGACTGCGGCGCACCTACAGTAAGCGCGCCACAGTTTTGCCTCTGCGAGACTCCACTTGCACCCCCAATTACTATTGCATTAAGGAAGACATAACACAAGTCTTTCTCTAAAATAGGCTACCAGCCACACAACAAGCTAACAGTCTGTGAAACGTCAAGACACTAATTAATGAAACCAGTTCAAGACGCATTATTCTTATCATTCTTTATGAGCGCAGTAACGGTAAGGTATCTAATTACTTATGTATTTAGTATTCCATTACTTAGTAACAGAGATGGTCAAACTAAAGTGGTAGAGACAGAATTCCTACAATGAAGCGGGGCATTGAACTGTTCACCCGTGAGAGGGCGATCAACAAAAGAGAGCGAGCGGCCCCGTTGAGGGAGTTTACAGATGAAAAGACTCATCCATGTTTATGCAGCACTGCACGCGGAGATGTGGTCTCGCAAATCGCGCAGATTACATAGGCCTACATGTATATAAACCGATATAAACCTGCGGCGGAAACCCCTCTAGTCTGTCAGTGAGTGTGATTATTTTATAAAAGTAA